AACCAAGGTTGGAATAAAGATGAGGGTTGGAGAAATCGTGATAAAGAGTGGCGTGATCGGAATGCCACTTGGAAGAAAAGAGATGGAGAGAAAGATAGGTATGTTTCTCCCCAGGAGCGTCAAAAGCCCAAAGATTCTGAGGGTGGCCGAACTGAGGATCCGCTCTCACGTATTCTCAACAAGGTGGAAGCGTCCGATAAAGTTTTGAAGGAAATGAAGGAAGATGTATCGACTCTCAACCAGACGGTGACCTCTTATTCCGTCTCTATCAAACAGTTGGAGACCCAAATGGGTTAGATTTCTTAACATCTTAACCCCAGACAACAAAGGGGGTTGCCTAGTGATACTATGGCAAACACAAAGAACGGAGCTTGAGTGCGGACTTGCGTCGTGCCACGACGTTAACTAAGGTGCTTCTTGGGAGGCAACCCAAGTTTTTATTGCTTTTTTATTTGATTTTGAATAATGGGTGTTGATTGTGCAGGTGAACAAGGGGAATGTGTTTGAAAAAGTGCAGGTTGGCGAGCCAAAAGTCCAGTCGGCGACTCACCGAAGAGGTTGGCGAGCCCGACTTGAACCGCCATTGGACTCAAGAAAATATAAGGATGGAGTCTAAAACTTGGCGGGACCATGGATAAGTCAGCGACTCGCTGAACAGGTCGGCGAGCCCGACTTTGTCCGCCGTTTAGACCCCCAAATTAACTGAAGGTCCTGTAAAACTCGGCGTGTCGCCGACTGGTTCGGCAAGGACGACTAATATCGTCAAAGGGCCGCGAATTGGAGGGTTTTTAAAAGGCCAAAAGTTTAAATTTTCAAAAAACTTTTTCACATTCCCTCACTTTTAACTTCATGCAACCACACCCACACTTTAAATTTTCAATATTCTTGCATTTTATTGCTTTTTGATCGTTGATCTTGAGTTCGGAGTGGAATTCTTTGCTGCCTAGCATTACAAAATCGTATTTCGGCATCAAAGGTTGGTTTTTCGAACTCCAAACTTATAAATAGCGGTTAAACTCAAATGCAATTGTTTAAATGAACTTTATGTGTGTTGGGCCTGCTCTAAACTTGTGTTTGATGTGCTAGTTTGCCTATTTTAGTTTCGATGTCATGACTTATATGCTTATATTGTTGATCTACCGAATCTTATGCTCTAAAATTGATCGTAAATTTTTGGGTAGCGGTTAATTATTGTTGGGTCTAGTCGGGTGAAGTATGTGTAACCCAAATTGTGCTAAATAACGTGTTTTGCCCAATGATGGAGCGTTTGACGTCATTCTTAAGGGCAAAAGTCATCAAATGGCCAATTTTGGCCAAACCAGGGGAAGTCTGAGTACCCTGATGGCATGGGTCATATGGTTCTGGCTTAATTGAGTTTGTATGTTGTTTGATTTTGGGAGTTGGGGTTGAAAATTTGCGCGTCTGGCAATTTGGCGTGCTGGGTCGAGTTAGCTGAACCACTCGGCGGTTCGCCAAAGTCCCATTAGATCGCCTTTAATTTCATGATTGGATTGAGTTTGGTTCTGTAACTTTTGGCGAGAAGCTTGAGCTCGCCGAAAGTCTCCTTGATCGGCCTTTATGCGCCCCTAACCCCTAAAACATACTGTAACTTTCGGCGGGCCAATCTGAGCTCGCCGAATAGTGTCAGCGATTCGCCAAATGACCCTTCACATTCCTGACATGCCATTTTTCTGGGAAATTTTCAGGCCAATCCTTTCGGTGAGCCCGATCTGGCTCACGAAAGTTATTCGGTGGCTCGCCAATCGATTCGGCGAGTCTGTCTGCAACTTTATTTCTGCAATTTTTCTTGGATTAATTCTAGCGCTCTTTGGTGTATATTGTAGATATGGCTAGACCAAAAGTAGCAGGCCGAGACATATCATCCTGCAAGAGGGCAAAGGGAATCACTATAAATGAGGATGCAGGTGCATCCAGGGCAAAGGCCACAAAACTTCCTACCATAAGTGGGAAGGGCAAAGGAAAAGGAAAGGCACCTGCTCCTGAGTCACCAGAGGTCAGCTCCGATAGTGAGGGAGTGTACGCCACTTACCTCACCACTTCTGAGAGTGAGGGTGAGAACCATGACCCTCAAGCTGACATTTTTGAGCCTGAGGATGATCAACTATTATTGGCCCGGAGAGCTGAAATGCGCTCCAAGAGGATGCATTATCCGTCTAGCATCCGGGTACCACAGGTCGCTACTCCTCCTCCTGTCCCAGGCCATGTTGTAGTCCCAGCACCACCTGCATAGGGTCCTCCTCCCCGGTCTATGAAAAGATTAAAGACTGAGGGGCTGAGGACCATCATTGAGGAAAAGAGGTTGTCGATGGATGGAGTGATAGACCAGTACCCAGAAATATGGCGTACCATAAAGGCTCGCAAGTTTGAGATTTTCACCAAACCCCGGGGTTCCTATATTCCTATAGTTGGGTCCGGGAGTTCTACACTACCTACGGATCCTTGGTGCCACAGTGAAAGAGGAAGGTTGCAACATTCAAGCCAGTAGACTATGTAGTTGTCAGGGGGAAGAAGGTAAAGTGTGACAGCAATGACATAAATGTTGTATTAGAATGCACCGGCAACATTAAAGACGACAACCAGTATATGATCAAAAGGAGCGGTGACAGAAGAGAGTGAGCACACATGGTGTTTTCTAGCATGATGTTTACATGCTTGAAACTATGTGTGCTCACTGCTCTATCTGTCACCCCCCATTGCTTTCTCTATCTCTCTCCACATTTTATTAGATTTACTAACGTTTTCTTGATTCATTCGCATTTTCGTGTAATTCTCCAAAAAATTCTATGATTGGGCTTTTTTTTCTTGGGGTGCAGGGGAGCGATTCACTAGCAAAAAATTTTGACGAGAGGGAGTTGCTCGGATAGTAAGCACCCCTCACTTCCAACCCGAAGGTTGCGAGTTCGAGTCACCAAGGGAGCAAAAGGGGTGGGAGCTCCTAGGGATGGTAAAAAAAAAAGAGAAAAAAAAACTAGCAAAAATTTCAGATATAAAATTATTAACTGCTTGTACAAATGGATTAGTTTGAATATGTCCGTGGCGTTTTAAAAAAAATTGATTACTTAGCTTGTTTAGAATTTTCTGCAGTTTCAGGATTCAGAAATATACATACTAGTTCTTCAATTAAATATTCTAGATGAGTGAAGTGTCAAAAATACACCTAAATTATTGCGAGTGTGAAAAACACGCCTAAGCTACCACCAGGGGCGGAGCCAGCCCTCTGTTAGGGGTTCATCCTAACCCCCTTCGGCGGAAACTATTACTATTTATATATGGTTAAAATTATTTTTTATGTATATATAGTATATGTTGAACCCCCTTCGATTAGTTCGTGTGTCTAGTTCTTCAGATTTTAAACCCCCTTATTAAAAAATTCTAGCTCCGCCACTGGCTACCACTCATAAATTTAAAAACGAACCTCAAGTATATGTGATTGTGTATTTATACTCTCTTTTTTATTTAAAAATTATCACATGGAAAACAATACTTCTTTAAAAATTGATTTTCAACACGTGGCCTCATTTTCTTTCATCACAAAAAAGACAAGCTAAAAAACTAAACAAAAGCAAAACAGACCAACCCCTCCCCCCCCCCCCACCTCAAAAAAAAATAATGAGAGGAACAAGAGGAGAGGAGTGTTGATAAATAAAGAAGAAAGATCGAAGGAGAAGAAGGTGGAGTAGGTTGAAAAACATATGTAATATAGGTGAATAAATGAAGAAAAAGAGCTTAGAAGTAATAATAAAGAAGAAGAGGAGAGTTTATGATTTAAAAATTAAGTGAACAGTAAATTATATATAAGAAGTGTCAATAAAAAAAAAACTAAGTGGTCGAAAACTCAAGGGCAAAAGCACCTTAGTGTGTGTATTTACATATTTGATGTAGTCAGTATTAATGTGTGTTTTTTAAATTAATAATTAGTGATAATTTATGTGTATTTCTAACCTTTCCAATAGTTTAGATATAAAATTCAAAGAAAAAAAATAGTAATTTAAATATAAAACTCAAAAAAAAAATTGAGTTTTGACACTTTAACACTTATCAAACTGGTGCACACATAATATGTACTAAAAAGGAACAATGTAATTACTACTCACTCTAACATTTTAAATATCTTAATCAGTGACCAATAACATTCAAGATTAATCACCTCACAATTGATGAAACACGTTTCGAATTTTGAGATTCAAATAAGTCTATTTTTTATCGTAGATTTTTCATATATTTTTTAATTATTTTGACATATAATACTTTTTACGTAGTTTACAAATATATAAATTCCATTTCAACATAAATTTTTTGATCAACTTAAACGATTTAACTCTAGAAAATAAAAAATTTAGTGCCTTGCTTGCAGAATGATCCGAAGTGACAAAGTACATGTCTCAGTCTAATAAAGGTATATTTTGAGGCAAAAATCTTGTTGATCTTAATTATTTTAGAGATTATATTTGACTTGCGTGTCAACAAGAAGTGGTCGATGATGTAAACATTTTCTCATGTGTTGTTCTTTTGCTTTAAATAACAACGGTTTATGACATCCAACAAAGATCGATCCGTCAAAAAATTCTTCCTCAAATTTGATTGGCATTTGGAAAAATCAAGAGCACTAGTACATTTTACAGCATCTCATCTTTATTTGATACAAGTCTTAATTAGTGGGATACAGCTCAATTATTTTTTGTTTTATTTTTTATTTTTCAGGAGATATAAATGATGATTTCACACATCGTATTGAAGTAAGGTGAGTGAAATGGATGCTTGCGTTCAAGTTATTGTATGATAAAAATGTGTCACCAAGACTTAAAGGTAAATTTTATAGAAGTGGTGGTTAGACCTAATTTGTTATATGGGGCAAAGTGTTGGTCAGTAAAATATATACACTTTTAAAATATGAAGGTGGCAAAAGTAGGGATGTTCAATTGAAGGTGTAGGCATACTAGGAGAGATAAAATTAGGAATGAGGTTATACCAAAGAAAGGTTGAAGTGACCTACGTGGCAGATAAGATAAGAAAAGCAAGAATGAAATGGTTCATACATGTGAAAAGGAGGAACACATATGCACTAGTAAGGATGTGAGAGAGGTTGCCTATACTAGGTTTAAGGAGGTAGTGTTGGAATGTATACTATTAACCATATGGTTAGTTATAGTATTTATTATAGAATAATTATTTATTCAGTTTTAATATATTTAGTGGTAATTGAGACTGATTCAACCATTGCTAGACTAATCAGGATACAAGAGGTGTCTGCACCTTGGGATGTTGATACAATAGTCAGGAAAGTTATTACATTGTTGAGGGATAAAAAAAATCGATTTTCTCATGTGTACATGGAAGGAAATGTTGTGGTTGATAGCCTAGCTAATTATGACATTGATGAAGAGATTTCTGGCACTTTTGAGGAGTTCCACCAGCTGCATGCACAAGCTAGAAAGGTTATCAATGTTGATAAAGCTCAGAATATGCACCACTTAGAATTTTCTTTTAAGCAAAACAAAAGGTGATCTACTATTAAGCTAAGCAAAAGATGACCTACTATGTAGTCTTCTTGACATGACATATCAAGTCAAAAGGGCGAGGCTCCCAGCAATGGGGGGAAGGGAAGTGGGTAGGCGGGATCCTTTCACTTGACTGGTTAGTTAGGACTTTTTTCTATGATGTTCGAGATCTTTGTCTCGTAGAGGGCAAAATGAGATCTTCTTGGAACAAGGTCAGAGACGTTGGATGGACCAATTTCTTCTGATTCCAATGATAGATGGATGGTCAGGTCGGTAACATATGGATGGAGGACTTCTATAGAGTTTTCTCGTGCGCTCGACTGGAAAGGTGGTTTTGTAGGCGAATGAAATACGTTTTTTGTAGGCGAGCGGAGTGAGGCAATGAAATTGTTTAGGCGAAACAAAGGTTGAGCGAAAATCTTTAGTTGTATTGGATCTCGGGATATTAATAATCGATAAGAGGGACACGCATAAGCAATATTGCAGCGGATCTCATGTGTGTTCTCCCTAAGGAGCCTGCCAAGTACAATAGGGTGGAAACTTATTTCAGTGATGACTACATAACAATAAAGTGCTTTGATATATTCGTTTATGGTGTCTGTTTACATATATAGTAGATGATTTAGTTTATAGAATTTTAGCTTATACACAAAGGATTAAATCACCGGTTCTTATAAGTATAAAGTTTTTTGTTCACAATCTAAGATGAAAATTGGACATGTCATCGGTACGATTGTAGCACAAGATTATATATAATTTATCTTGATTATGGGAACGGTATAGTTCCAACTTCTTTTGCTAGTGCATTTTGTATGTAATGAACGAGACCGAGTAGAGATAGTTGTTTCAGACTTACTGACAAAAACATATTTTCTAAACTGTTAAATGTACTTATATTTTTAATTCTAATATAACTATTATGATCTGTGTATATTAATGGAAAAATGCATAAGTACCTCCCCCCAACCTATACCCGAAATCTTAGAGACACACTTATACAATATACTATGGTCCTATTAACCCCCCACCCCCCCCCCGAACTTATTTTATAAATAATTTTCTACCCCTTTTCGGCCTACGTGGCACTATCTTCTGGGTCCCAGCGCGTGTTGACAATTTTTCAAGCTATCTGGTATATATATTTAACATGCTCAGATGCAACTATCGTAGTAATTAAGTACTAATTCTAACTATCAAGTGCCCTCAGTGTTAAATAAATGTCCTTTTCACTAATCATGCAAGTATATAATCAATTAGGGGCATGAGAAAATCGAATCCTCTCACTCTCACAAGAAGATTCATAACATATTATACTATAGACTTGCCATTAGTGTATTACTCATTCAATCAAAGCACTGAACGGTTGAAAAATTGTCAACACGCGCTGGGCCCAGAAGATAGTGCCACGTAGGCCGAAAAGTGGTAGAAAATTATTTATAAAATAAGTTCGGGGGGGGGGGGATAGTAGATCCGTAGTATAGTATGGGCGTGTCTCTGAGATTTCGGGCATAGGTTGGGGGGGTACTTATGCATTTTCTCTAAAAATCATCACAAAATACAATTATTCACTAACAAATCTAAGAGAATTAACCTAATAGCTAATCAAAAACAAAAGTTGTTCTTTGAGATTGTGATGTATATAAAAAATGAAGAAGAAGAGATGTGAAAAAAGAAGAATAGGTGTTAAAGAAGAGGTGTGGGGGTAGGGGTGGGGTGGAGGAGGATGGGGGGTTAAAAGTTAATTCTAATTATTATTTTTATTTTTATTTCTAACTGACGCGTTTAGTTTTTATTTTCATTTTATTTCTTTGTTACGTCAGTTTTAAGGGGTAAATAAATTCACTTTTGAATAGTAAAAGTGTGTAATAGGTAATCATGATAGTTTAATCGTGTAAGTGACTTTTCGATACAAGTTCAAGGTGGAATTTATGTCTTTTCTCATTTTTTACACTAAAATTTTCGCATGAATGGATGATCATTGTGTATTCTTTTTGTAAAAAATATATTCTTTTAATGGCTGCAAACATTAAGAAATCACCTGTCTTCTGACTTTCTAGACAAAAAAAGTTAAGATTATAAAAAAGGATCATTAACAAGGATTTGAGACTACAAACCCCCATCTAATAGCTTGAGCTAGATATATAAGACAGTTAACTTGAAGCATGTGATGAATGAATAAATCAATTCGAC